GGGTTGTCGGACCCGGTGGCGGGTTGCGGGCTGCGGGGGCGGGTTGCGGGGTGTGGGGTGCGGTGCCTGGTTTACGGGCTGCACCCTACGGGGTGTGTGGCTGCGGGTGCCGGGCATTGCCGGCACTGCCGAGGTGAGTGGCCCAGCGGGGGTGGGGGGCCCTGGGGGCCTGGGGGCACTGGGCAGTGGGCGCCCTGGGGGAATGGTGGACGCCGGACGCACCACCCAGCCAGGCAGGTCATGACTCACAAGGCGGGATGTGTTGGCGAGGTCAAAAGGCGGGATCATGCGGGGGAGGGACCGGGGTGTCGGGTGTGGTGCGTGGGTGACGGGGCGGGGTGCGTGGCACTGCCTGCCACCTAGTGGGCGAGGCGCCGAGGTCAGTCAGCCTGACTTAGGTGGCGGGGCGTGATTGCGGGTGCCGGGGGGGGGGGGGGGCGGCCCGCGCGCGTGGTGGGGGGCCCTGGGGGCCCTGGGGGCCTTGGGGGCACTGGGCAGTGGGCTCCCTGCGGGAATGGTGGACGGACCCGCCAGCTGCAGCCTGCAGGCAGGTCTGGCTAGTAGCTACCAGTAGGCTGTAGCCCGTGTCCTAGCAGGGCAGGTGTGGCCAGGCGATGGGAGGGTGGCCCTCGGCAGTGTGCTCGGTGGGCTGGGCAGGGGGCAATTATGGTGACCTTGTGTAAAAAAAACGAGGGGTAGTGACCTAGTCAAGTGTGTGGGCTGGGTGGGGTACCATGTGGGGTGGGTGCGGTACTATGTGTACGGTGGCCCGGTGGGTGGGGTACTATGTTGGCAACTTGGCAGGGTGTGGCATTTATGCAGGCACGCCGGCACGGGCTCGGGGGTGGTACCGCGGGACTATGTGGGCTGGGTGGTGTGCTATGTGGGTTGAAGGTTTGTCAATGATACTCAATATTAGTTTTGTGACTTTGTCGAGCGTTTGTAAATTTTATTATAATTATTTTTTTTTATGCTTTGTCGGTTACCTTTTGTCTTTCATTAGCCATTGTACAATTTGTACTCCACATGGTTTGGATTTTTATTTTATTAATTTTTTGTTTTGTAGCTTTATCGAAATTATCGGTGACCTTTTCTCTTTCATTAGCCATTCTACTACAGTAACTCCACACACCTCGGAAATAGATCTACATTTTACAACCGGAAATATCCCCACTTCAACCATCCACGTCGATTTTTCCAGAGGCGTAAGTGAGAAGCATTTCAGCCTTTTTGAGGAGTTGGTTCAACTTGGTTGAGGCGGAAAATTACAATGGATGAAAAAAAAAGCGAGAAAACACACACACACCACGGTCCACGGGCAACCTGCCAACCGTCAGACAGTACATTTTGAAGAATGCGAAAATTTCAAGATTCAAAATAAATTTCAGCCTTCGAAGACAAATCGAACTGCCGAGGATGGGAAAAAAAATAAAAAAAATAAAAAATATTGCACCATCTGAATAGATATACAACCTCAGACAATACTTCCAAGACTCCCAAAAGTTCGAACAAGAGGCATCAACCAATCACAATAAGATACCTGCGAGGCTACAAGGCTACGAGGCCGCGAGGATGCGAGGCTGCGAGGGTAACAAAATAAAAGTACAACAAGCTGAAGCGAAGCAATTTTGTAACGGCCTCTGCCTGCCCGGCTATAGGCTCTCATGCTACAGGCCCAGGCCATATGGCCTCCCGTTCTAGTGATAAATCTCTCTCTCTCTCAGACAATACTCCCAAGACTCCCAAGAGTTCGAACAAGTGGCAACAACCAATCACTCTCTCTCTCTCTCTCTCTCTCTCTCTCTCTCTCTCTCTCTCTCTCTCTCTCTCTCTCTCTCTCTCTCTCTCTCGCTGTGTCTCTATCTCTGTCTCTCTCTCTCCCTCCCTCTCTCCCTGTCTCTGAGTCTCCGTCTCTTCGCGACCAAGTGATAACCCGTGTGTCTGTTGAAGAGTGGCCTCCATTTTGTGCAGCAACCGCTGCACCTGAGCTCGCCGATCTATGGGGGCAGGAATCATTGCCGGTGGTGTGCCCTGTGCTCGCTGCCCTTGCGGTCGGAGTCGTGTCCTCGGTCTCACTCGTCGCCGTCCTCCATCATCTCCATCCGCCGCCCGCAATCTGGGTATGTAATCGGAGTCCCCTGCAACATTAGTGCCTGTGGTCTCTCCCGGGGCGACATCCGTGCTGTCGTCGTGGACGATAAGTACACTGCCGTGTCTCTTCTGACCTGCCACTGCATYCCCTGTGCCCTCCCTRCCGACAATATCCGCCGTCGTTGCATCCCTCCCTCCAACATCCAATGCGTCGCCGTCAGGTGCAATCTCTCYGTCCTCGAGATGCACAACGCCCGATCCTCTCTCTCGAGAACGCATATGTGAGGATGAACGTGACGCCTTCCTTGCCGAGGCCTTCTTCCTTGCCCGAGAAAGACTCGCCTTYGCGGCTCTCGTAGCATGGACATCAGACGTCTTCGTCGGCAAAGCACTCCCGTGTCGGTCCTCAAACTCTGCCATGGCGGTGTGCCGAGCACCATCCACACTCCCAATGGATCGTGTCCCCATAGACGGTGCAGATGGCCTGCCAACATTCCGGAGTCCCTGCTTATCCATCCCCCCAGTACTCTTCCCGCTGGCATAGAATGCCACTGTCGGCAAAACAGTAGCTCTGTCGCGCCGTGCTGTCGGCGATGACCCAACCACAGGCTGTTCTGTCGCGTCCAAAGTGTTCGCGACGGGGACGCCCGCATCTGCGCCGACAACCGCGACAATCGGATGATGCTCTGAGTTTGACGGTGGACTTGGGGGTCTTGCTTCTCTTTCGACTGCGTCAACTGGCCCACCAGGAGACCCTTCCTATGCGCCGTCAAACGAATGAGAAAGACTGCGTTGTGCGATGCTGCGCTGACCGTCGCGGTGGTGTCGCGTCGCCATCTCCGCCAAACCAAGGGCCACCTCGCGTGGTTTGCCAACACGAAAAATCGTGGGCGTGGCAGACACCATTGGGCTCGTAATCATATCGGCGACATCGCCTCCTGCCACGTCAAACCCGTCCAATCCACGCTCCATGACGACAGGYTGTTGTGGCTTGGGCGGTGACACATGGGGTAGACCTGGGGATATCAACGTCGACAAGTCCGGTAGAGAAACGAGCGCGGACTCCATGGCCGGTAACTCGCCAGTACCCGGAAGACTGCCGGTGGGGCATGCGAGGCTGACATGGCCTGCGGCGCTCTGCTCGGCTGCGGGAGTGTGTGAGATCTCACGTTCCGGGAGATCGTCGCCTAGAAACACATCAACGGTTCCCTGACTCCCCTCCATCAATGCAGGCGGTGGCCGCGGTGCAGTGTTGACTACATCGCCTCCGTGCGTGCCTGATCGCTGCATATGAACCCCCTCCCTGCATACATTGGGTTGAACACTGCGAGGTGGGAGCAGACTTTCTTGCTCCGCCGCTGCCAGTGGCAGTCCCACATCCGAGGTCGCTGCAACTGAGACTGCCGCTCCGGCAGACGTGAGTGGATGCAGTGCACCGGCAGAACCCTCATCCCGCACTGCCGGGAGAGGACCGATCTCTCCGTGAACCTCGGGATGACGCATCAACGGTGCTGGACCCTGTTGCGATTCTGGGACTGCTGCGGAAGACCCCATCGGAGTTGTCGCGTGCATACTCAAAGTGTCACCTCGTGGATGACCGCTYCCGCCATGCAGCTCGATCCGCTCCTCGCCGCCGTGATCGCTGAAAGAGTCATCAGAAACTGGAATGTGCTTTGTTACGGGGACTCGTGGTAGTGGAACGCTATCAACCCCACCATGACGTTTGGGCACACGTGAAGCGATAGTGTCTTTTTCCCTTGGTTCGCGTTTCAAGCGCCTCAGGTCACCGCCCGGGACAGGTCGTGAACCATCATCCACTCCATCTCGAGCATCATCATCCACTCCATCCCGAGCGTCATCTACTGTTGTGCGGTGCTCGCCCCCTGCCCCGTCGTCGCGCATCGTGTCACCATGTGAAGGTCGTGGCGTGTCTCCTCCGTCACCGTAATCATCGCCACTGGCGCCATCGTCGTCGTCCACGCCAAACCCACGGTCGTCGAAATCGCTGTCGCCATCCTGTGCAGGCCTGCCAGTCCCGAAGAAATCCTCGTCATCGCTGGACGAGCTTTCGTACAAAAAGTCTCCCTCATCCCATCGCTGTCGAGGCTTGCGTACTAGCTCGTTCGCTGCCCTTCCACGACTCGCAACACTACGCCTCCCGCTAGGACCTCCACGCCCGCCTCGCCCACGACCGTCCCGAAGACCACCTCTGCGACCGCCGCCACGACACCTCCTCCTGTCAGACTCCCGCAAGCGACGAGTGGCTCTCATGCGGGACACAACGCGCATCCTCTCTCTCGCCTGCATCAACTCCTCCTTCGTGACCGTCACACGGGCTCCTCGGTCTGCCACAAGCTGCTGGTCGGTGGGCACCTCCTCCTCCACCTGCTGCCAGTAGTGCACCCAGCTCCCATATGGATGTGGCCTGTCATTGGGAGCATCGTCCGACATAGCCTGCCTGTCGAGGAGCCGAAGGTTCCAATGGCATCGCACAAGCTTCTCGGTCCGCACCACCTCCAATCTGTTACGAGATTTGGAGTGGATGAAACTCCAACGGGACGAAGCTCTCTCGCAAGGCGATGCAGTCGCCCACACACGCAGTATCCTGCCAGCGAAGAAGACCGTGTGCGGGAACCTCTTCTCCTTCGACTCCCAGAAATAGGTTGGATGGGTATAGCTCATCGCCGCCCGGTCCATGGCCACGTCGTCGAACGGCGGCTCCCTGGAATGGAACTTGTCAATGGCAGTGAGGACCTCGNCCGCCCGGTCCATGGCCACGTCGTCGAACGGCGGCTCCCTGGAATGGAACTTGTCAATGGCAGTGAGGACCTCGTTGTGCTGATCCGAATGTTCCAGGTACCCAAACTGAATCAGAGCGAGTTTCAAACCGTGCTGTTTCTCCTCGTCGTCTGGCATCGTGCGGTCTCGAAACTCGGGGTCCAACATCTTGGCAGCAACATGAGCAGGCGACTTGAACATGGTGCGGCGTCTGTCAAACACTTCAAGCAGCGCATCCTGCTCGTCCTTCTCCAAAGCGGCACATGCAAACAAACAACGCACAATCATCTCGTCGTATCGACGCAAAATCTTGACAATCTGCGTCGTGTCGCTGTCCACCATATGCAGCATGTCCATGATGGGATCCAACAACTTGTACAACGCTCTCATATCCTCTTACCACTGAGGACAACCGACACATGCTGTGACCTCCGCGTCGTCGTCTTGAATCTTTTTCGTTGACCAAACAGTGTCCTTCCATCGATCATCAACGACCACCTGCATAAGATGCGATTGCAGCAGAAAAAGTCGTCGCATCATAATCACATGCGTACCGAAGCGAGTCTCGGCGGGAAGCAGCAGAGCCTTCGTCGTGAAAGCTTGCAAAACTTCGCGAGCGTGGCTATGACGCTTGAAAAACTTTGTGACCAAACACGCCTGAGCAATGCGGGTCGCCACCCAGTTAGTGTCGCCGATGTCCTCAAGGATGAGGTCCATGACATGCACTACACAAGGAATCCAGAAGATGTGCTTGACACTCTCATCCTTCTGGAACACCTCCATCGCAGAAACGTTCGAACTGGCAGAGTCTGTGACGAAAGCGGTGATGTTAGCGAGCTTGATGTCAAGGGACTTCAACCTTCGCAGCCAAGCCTGCGCCAGAGTAGTAGCATCCTTCTTTCCTCGCATGACATCTGTCGCGACGTATGTGGCGCCCCGTGTAGTGCCGACGAGATAGTTGCACAACGTTTGGCCTCGAATGTTGGTCCAACCGTCTGTCATAATCGTGCAACCGTAGGTAGCAGCAGTAGCGAGGACAGGTTTCACACACTTTTGGACTTCCACATCAAGCTCATCCAAAAGTGTGGTACGGATCATTTGATACGTTGGGGGTTTTGGGGTGGGGACTCCTGGAACCCCAGGCGGGATGATCAACGTGAACATGCGTTTGAAGCTCTCAAGCTTCATGCAGTTGAACGGCATGCCGCTCTCGACAATGAATCGCATGATCTGCAGGTGCCATGCGTGCTCCAGCGGGTCGTTGTAATACGAGCTCACCACCTGCTGCCTGTAAGTGCCCCTCACGCGTGCACCTGCGCCCATACCTAGCGAATCCCACACCCCGCCCCCGGCCGCAGGTGATGCGATGGGGCCCGGACTCGGAGCTGCAATGTTGCGCAGATTCTGTAAAGGATCCCGTGTCCCAAGAACACCGTGCTGCGAGGTCGGGCCGTTCACTGGCACAGGAGTGGGTGACGAATCCGAAACCTGAACGGGCTCGTCGAGCTGGACGTTTCCCGCACCCTCGGGGGCCATTGCAGCGGCCTCGCCAACTGGTGCCGAAGTCGAGTCTGGTGTAGGCCGTCGTGTTTGCGAAGGAGGGGGAGGCAACCATGAATACGCAGCGGATTGATGTCCTGTTGCGGGTGCTCCTGCCACGGCCGGACGTGTGCCTGCGCGTCGAACTCTTGGGACCTTGTCCCTGTTACCAGTGAACAATGGGGCGAGGCCGGATGATGTGCCAGCGCCCTTCCCCCACCCATCGCCCTCGACAAAAGCACGAGTGCCTTGCTCGTCGAACGGTACTGGTTCCCCGACACCCGAAACTGGCACGGTGCCTTGCGCATCACGCTGCGCTGCCACAGATGGCCTGCCATCAACGACTGCGGGAATCGTTTGACGAAGCGGCACAGGTGAGACTGCCGCCGGACGAGGGGGGAGGGGAGCAAGTGGTGCACATGGAGATGGCTCCACTTGCGAGGGGGCGGCGGTCGACGGGGGCGGCGGAACGGTGTCCTCGGGAAAACGAAGAGGTGGCCATTGAAAAGAGGGATGACCTAGAGGGAGACTCTGCAAGGCCTGCACGGCAGAAGCCAAATGTGTAGGATACTTGGATATATCCTTTGACCAAATCGCGTGCCACACCGCCGGAGTCGTCACGGGGCATCTATACCCCTCGCCACGAAAAAAGTGTTCCTTCGCATCACGAGCACCCCCACATAGAGAACGACCGCATAACCTGCACAAACAACGGCGACCGTTCTTTCTCCCGACCGCAGTGGATCCATCTAAATATTGACCACGAGCAACGAAATGCCAAACAGGATCATCTCGTTTTCCATCCGCCTTTGGATCCACCTTGAAAGGGGAGTCAAAGGTCTTCGTGTTGTGACCTTTTCTACTACCCTCCGCCCTTTTCCCCGTTGCCGAGGAGGACTCCGCAAGGCCCTTCCCGTTATTGCCTCGTGGGTCAGACATGTTGTGGAGACCGAATGAAATCCGTAGAAGGGGTGAACTGAAACGAACTCCGACGCCGACGACAAAGAACTGCACCGAAGTTACTGAACAACCGACGAATCAACCTGTAAAAGATGGACAATGATAGAAACGTACACATGTTTCACAACAACCACAACGACAAACAAGGGAAGGAACAAACATAAAGACCCCTAGAGAGAAGAAAAAAAAACACCCCTAGAGAGAAGAAAGAAAGAAGAAAAAAAAAAA